TCGCCCATAATAGAAAAAGCTCGACCTCACTGACCTTGTTCGCCTCCTTTTTACCGGAGATGTTATAGAAGATGAACCGATGAACTACAGCAGTGGCCAGGTCCTGAATAAGCCCATTGGACATGCCGGCGGAGTCCCAAGTCGTGTGTGGGGAGAGTTCGGCCCAACTCTTGTGGGGGTCGAAGTCAATGGCCTTGCTACGTGTACCGGCAATGGTGAACCCGCAAACGCTTTTCATGACGGCGTTGTCCACTGTAAAATCCGTCCCCTGAAGCCGACATGTGAAGTATTCGTTCCCATCAGCGAGAACAAAGGAGCTGAAGAACTCAAGCATAAGGCCCCGATGCGATGTGTGCTCTATCTTTGCGTAGTCGAGCAAGTTAAGGACCTTGAGGTATTTAGTGACGTCCTCGAGAATGCCCAAATCGTTGAGGAGGTCCCAGTCAACTGCTTTCGGCCTCACCACTTCCTTTTGCGAGAGTCGGGCAAAAATCTCGCCTTCCTTCCGCGAGTAGATCGGAAACGGGGCATTATATTGATCCGCAAGGTCATCCCGTTCGCCTACCGGAGGTGCATCTCGGGAAGAGGACTCGCCCGCTTTCCGCTTTTTAGTCGGCTCTTGGGTGGTTTTCTTCTTAGTCGGACGGGTCGGTGTCTTGCCCATTGCAAAAAGAGTTGAAATGTCTTTTGGGCAATATATCAAACACCTTATGGGCGCAAATATGATGTTCAAGCTTGGGAGAAGATGATAATGGCCGGGACCCAAATTTCATTTAAGCTCAGTGCAAAATCCACCAACCAATCACAAAATTCAAAATTTCGGAGTAGGAGTTCGTATCACGGTTACCGTACAATCGAGACCTTGACCCGTGCGAGGTGAAACTCGAAGTTGAGGGCGGACGGAAATCCGTTCGATTTGCTGTTAGGAGCGGAGATGACCCGCTGGGAGGAGGGCTGACCGGTCGGACACGATGGCGGCGACTCGCAGGCGGAGATGATGCCGGCAAAGGACCCAAGTCGCGGATGGCTCAGTGTTGGTGAATTTCGACCCAAAACTCGTAGTGAACAAACGGAATTCGGACGTGGATGATAACCTCTTGAGGTTGTGATCGATTTTTGGCGAGAGAAGTTGATGAACGGACGGTTGAAAGAAGCAAAGAGATCGCCGATGAGAGTAGGGTTGTTGAAGAGATGGATTATGCCCAAAATCTGAAGAAGATGGCCTTTAAATCGAGGTGTTCGCGGGCCGCGACTTAACGGGAGTCGCGACACTTTTATTCACCGCGGGCCAGTTTTCATCGCCGCGGGTCGCGACATAAGCCCGCGGCCGCGAAGATTTGGAAGCAGAAGTACCGTGTCTGGGAACCGTTTGTCGCCGAGGCCGCGGCGAAGAATCGGTCGCGGGCCGCGACCAGCCTCCGAGGCCGCGAGGTAACTCCGAGGCCGCGGCCATAATTGGTCTGAAACTTGATATCTGCAGACGATAGTTGTTCGCCGCGGCCGCGGCGAAGAAACAGCCCGCGGGCCGCGGCGACTAATTACATTTTTTTT